CTGCGGCTTTGAGATGGACGTCGCGAGCGACTCATGTAAACGGTCAATTTGTCCGCAAGCGGCAGCTAAAATATTAAAGACAACAGGGTTGAAAGCTACAATCCTGGACAAAACCATCTGCGACACTACATTAAAACATTCCTTTGTGGCTTTTTTAACAGTTAGATTGGAATAATTTACTCGTTTGAATGGGGGAACAGGGAATGGGGGAACGGGGAATGGGGGAACAGGGAATGGGGGGATAGGGAATGTGGGAACGGGGAATTGGGGAACAGGGAATGGGCGAACAGGGAATGGGGGAACAGGGGAACAGGCAATGGGGAACAGGGAATAGGGGAACGGGAATGGGGGAATAGGAAATGGGGGAATTGGGGAACGGGAATGGGGGGGCCAGGGAATGGGAGAACGGGGAATGGGGGAAGGCTATCTTTAAAATAGGTAACGGGAATGCAGGAATGGGGGAATGCAGGAACGGGGGAATGCAGGAAGGGGGGAATGCGGGAATGTAGCTACCTCCTCCGCAGGCCATACAGCCCGTAATGAGTATGCCCGTTCGCAGGTTGGAATTTGAAATTTGAGACGAAGACTTGCGTAGCTGTATTAAAGGCCTGCTAAATAACATGTCGATTACTTGGCTTCTGGTGTCGATTACTCGGTTGGGTCAAATTTCTTCAAAAATATGGCACATCGTCTGCTAATCTTTAGCAATCCCGTTTTGCGAGTATTTTCTAAATACATCTTGGCAGTTATTCCTGGTAAAAGCGACGAGGAGATTCAAATAATGGAGGGTTTTACAAGCGACAGTGATAATAGACGTTGAGAATCTATCATTTGGCCAAATGTGATGTTTTGACTATCTACCCACGCATTTAAATAGTTACACTTACATATAAAAGACAAATATGAATGGAATAAATTTCGTGGATAAAGGGCCGCATGCCTGATATACGACGTGTTTATACATAAAAGCGCTGCGTGTTTGTAATATGTAAATTATAAACTGATATTTCATATTTATCTGCTTCTCTTTATAAATCATTATATATGCTTGTTTGTTCAGTGTTCACTGTTCCTATGACATGTATATTTCAGATACGAAAAGCGGTTTATATTGTTCTGGTAAAATGATACATTAAATATAATTTGGTTTGTGGCTCCCGCCATTTTGGAAAATTAGTCGGCAGGCCTTTCGGTTCGTTTCCCACCAATTTTATATTTTTGAAAGGCCTGCGGAGGAGGTAGGGAATGTAGGTTAACGAATTTTTCTTGAAACAGTCTAGCCAAAGAAAGATTTAAATACGTGTTGAAAGGAAATCCACTGTATTGCAATTATTTAAATGAAAGTGTTGGCCACAGCCGGTGTCCCAGGAAATTTGGCCCCCCCAAAATTTGGCCCCCCCCGGGCCAAATTTCCTTGGAAATTTGGGGCCATATTTCCTAGGAAATATGGCCTCGCCTTCGGAAATTTGGCCCCCTCGAAAACATAG